GGGCTATCTATCTTCTCCAGCTTATCCATTGAGATTGGGAGATCTTGATTGGGAGGGAGATAAGAGGGGTCTGCGTTTGAAGGAGCGGACATAGGGGGAAGCAGATTGAAGAGGAAAAACCTAGGGAGGATCAACATAGGGTTTATAATAGAAAATAGTGCAAGGGTTGAAAGGAGAGAAACGGAAGAATAGGAGTGCACAGGGGATTCAAGGGAGGGAGAAGAGGAGACAAAGGGGGGTCGAAGCTGAAGAGGTTATAGGGGAAGATAACACTAAGAAGGGGATGGTAGTTATTGATCAACTAGTGGACAGTTAAGTGAAGATTATGAAGTCACTCGGCTTATTCTTTCTGGGGTGGGGGTAGTGAGGAAGGCAATTGAACATCTTGAGAAAAGAATAAGAGAACAATATAATAAAAAAGAAAGCTATTGGGGAAGGGGGTAAGGTGTGTGAGGAAGGAGAAGGGAGGGAAGAAGGAATAGTCGATGAAGAGTAGAGGTAGGTTGTTGTAAATTTAGAGGGAGGGGGTTGAAATTGGAATCCAAAGATGAAGTTGGTATCATGGAATATTAGGGGATTGAGAGAAGAAAAAGAAGAGTGTTAGTAAGGAATGTTTTTAGAATTCATAATCAAAATGTGATGATGCTCCAAGAGATGAAGCTGGAGACATTTGATCTAAGAATGAATAATGAAATTTAGGGGTCTGATAATGGGGAGTGGGTGGATGTGAATGCAGTAGGTCTATTGGGTGGATTGGTTGTCATTTGGGACCCAAGGATCCTTGGAAAGATTAGAGAGAAGTAGGGAGTGTTTTCAATTTCATTCTGTTTCCAAATGGTGGAAGGTGAGTGAAGGGTGGGGGCTTACAAATATTTATGGGGAAAATGAAGAGTGATTTTAATTTAGGAATGGGGGCCGTTGATGTTTAGGGGGTGATTTTTATGTAGCAAGGCAAATGGGGGAATGGCCTAATAGATCCTTTACAAAGTGGTTGTAGGTTCACCTGGACAAATGGGAAATGCCCACCTATATTAAGAAGATTGGATAAGTTTCTTTTCTTAGGAGATTGGGAGGAGCATGTGGAGGAGATGGTACAAGAAGCATTACCATTTTGTATGTTAGATCATAAGCCAATAATTCTTAGAATGTTTGTGGTGAGTTTTGGTCCAAAACCATTTAAGTTTGAAAATATGTGGCTTGACAACCCAAACTTTCTGGAATGGTTCATTTGGACAGACTGGGGGAGGAACTGTTTCTAGGGAGGAAAAGCTGGGGATAGAAAGATTGGAAGCTGAGTTGGAAAAGGATAATTCATGGAGAAGAGGAGAGCTGGAGGCAAAAGCCGAGAGTTACATGGCTGAAAGTAGGTGACAAAAACATTGCCTTCTTTCATGTCTATGCTAGTGCTAATGCTAGAAGGAGGAACTTTATCTCAAGAATAAAAGTGGGGGAGGAAATGGTGGAGTCATGGAATGAAATTCAGGAGAAGGTGGTGGGGTACTAGAAAAACTTGTATACTTTGAGAGTGTGGAGTTTGATGTCCCTTGGGCAGATGCTTCCCAAGAAATTGAATGAGTTCTCAACAAATTATATTGAGAGGGAGTTCGAGATGGGTGAAATTAAGGAAGCCTTAAAAGATATAAATCGGGATAAGGTGCTGGGACCAGACAGGTTCCATTTCTTTTTTATCAAGGCTTGCTGGAAATTGCTACAAGAAGAGCTTGTCTTGATGTTTAAGGAATTCCATAGGGGAAGGTGCTGGAGAGGATGGCTAATGCAATATTGTTTCTTTAAATCCAAAGAAGGATGGTGCTGTGGAGTCGAGAGATTTTAGGTCAATGAGCTTAATCAGCAGCCCATATAAATGGTTACCAAAGGTTTTATCAAAAAGACTCAGAAAATGTTGCATGAGGCGGAGGGAGAGACCCATACGGCTTTTGTGGAAGTAGACATATTTTGGATGAAGTTTTAGTGGAAGTGAGTGTATTGACTCAAGATTGAGGAGTGGAAGAGCGGGGCTGGTTTGTAAGATTGATATTGAAAATTATGACCATGTGCAATGGGGATGGAGAAAGAATCTGGTTTTGGGAAGATGATTGGTGTGGGGTTGGAAATTTGAGTGACTTGTGCCCAAGGCTGTATAGGCGGGCTGAGGCTAAGGTGACTATTCTTCACTGTTATGAGAGAAGGGAGGACAATTGCTCAAATGGGAAATTCTCTGTGAAGTCCTGCTATTTAGCTCTCCGTAGGGACCGTTTAAGTTTAAATCAAGCTGAAGGTGTGTGGGGAAATCTGGTTCCCCCTAGGGTTGAAGCCTTTGCATGGCTTGTGGCCATGGATAGCATCTTGATGGTGGATCACTTGAAATGTAGGGGCTTCAATATGGCTAATATATGTTTGCTATGCAAACAACAGGAGGAAACTGTTCACCATCTGTTTATTTCTTGCAAAATATTTGGATTCATTTGTATTCAGGGTAAGAGACTTTCAGTCAAGGCTCCCTTCGGAGATTTTTTCATCATAGCCAAAGATAAGAGAAAGCAAGGTTGATTTGGAGTTGCATTCTGTTTGCAATTTGCTGGAACATCTGGAAGGAAAAAAACAGTAAAGTTATTGAAGACAAAGCTTGGAATCTGGATGGGATGGTGGCGGCTGTTGGCAAATCTGTTGCAGAATGGGTCCTGGTATTACCTGAATTTAGACAGGTTACCAAAGAGGACCTTGGGGATAAGTTTGGTGAAGTTCTGGGGTTCCAAATATGTCATCTGGATAATATATTTTGACTTGTAATTGAGTTGATTGTGATATTTTAGTTTGTATGCAGGTGTTGCCTTGACACCTGGCTAGGTTGTATCATATTTTTTTTCTTTCTAATGAAATTTTATTTTTACTATAAAAAAGACAAACAAGGCTGGTTGGCATTGTTTATATTGCTTTACATTTGGGTGGTGGTTGAATATATAAAGGGTGGTGACTGGAGCAAGTTCATACTTTGGTGGTTGGGCATTATTTCTTGGGTCTGACTATGATACCGGAAACAATATCATATCTAAAACCCGTATTAGTGCCACATATATATTGGTACTGGATATACTTAAGTAACAGGTAACTATTTTTTCATTTACTTCAGTTAAAAAATATTTTAAAAACCCAAAAACTCAAAGACTTTTTAACCTATCCGTTACCCGTGTTACCCACTCCTGTGCTCGTCTTCTTCCAATCTCCGTCTCCTAGTCGAACATGTGAACAGCCTCCGTGAATTCTATGGAGCACCTCCTGACGTCCATCACACAAAGTAGATGGGTTATATATAAGTATAGATATAAACTACTACTTGGACACCAATGCACACAAATGTGGATCACTTGTCTATAAACAGATGACTAATGATTGAGATCACCCGTGAGGCAAATGGAAACACAGGAGGCAAATTGCTGATGGCCATGGCAATCTCACACAACTAAATGAAATTGTTGCTCTCCTTCGTTAATGGAGTCATTACACCTTCCTCAAACTAGGAGTTACATGTTGAAGCCGATTCCATGACTGCACTTGCGTATACATCAGCACTATTGTAATCCTCAGACTTGAAGTACCTGATCAAATTTCGCAGTGTAGAATTTGCATCAGAGTATAGTTCCAAATAGTCATTTAAGCTTGCTATGGTGCATTAATCATCTTCATTCTCTAACAAATTCTTAATCTTTGCAACTGTGTTGGTTTAATTTTCTTGGGCCAATTGTACTGCAATGACTCCAAGTCCTTGAAGATCTGAACTTCTGCTCTCAGGGACAGCCTAGAGAGAGGTTACACAGAAGTTGTAGCTCAAGTATGGGGACTGTTTCTGCACATGTTCTGCTAGGGGTTAGCAAGAAAAATTGAAAAAACGAACTGAACCGAAAATCCGTTAACCAAACCAGTCAGTTCGGTTTCATTTTGGTATTTTTAAAAACCAAAGGTACTGGTTCGCTTCCGGTTAACCAGTATAGAAAACTGGCACTTAACTGAACCAACTAGTATACATATATTTCATATATTTCTATATATTTTATGTATATTTATGTATATTATATATATTTTTTATACATTTTATATTTTCTATATGTTATAAATTAATAAATATGCATTATATATAAATATATATTTATAATAATATATTATTTATTATTTAAAATGTAATATTTTATATATTTCTAGTTTTTTATTATATATTTATATATTTTTTATAATATATATTGTTAATATAAAAAAACCGAATAACTGATGAAACGAACTGATCAACCAGTTGACCAATCGGCTTTGGTTTGGTTTTGATTAACAGTTTTCTAGAAACTGGTAATACCAGTTCGGTTTCAAAAATAGGCCCATGGTTTGATCCCCTATGTTCTGCAGGTTTGATTTGATTGACCCACTTGGGCCCTTCATCTAAACCATGTCACTGTTTCGTATGAGTTTGTGATAGACTCTCGCTTGACGGAGCTTCTTCGAGGGAGCTCCTTCCTCCCAAAAAATATACCAACATAGGAAATGATATTACCTTTGTCGGGTTCGTTGTGACCAATGGGGGTTGGAACTTGGAGAGAGATGGGGGAGACAAACAGCTAATAGCATCTTAACGACCGAAAACCTTAACGTCTTTCTGTTTTGAAAGGGATACTATTTTTCCTTTCTAAATTAATAATCGGTTGTTTCTGAAACCAGTTACCTGAGATAACCCATATTCACCAAAAGTGATAAATCGGCTATTGATTGGTTAAAGTCTACCAATATGATACCTTTCCGTATCATAGATTTTCCCTTGTTTCATTATCTAATTGACTCCCAAGTATGGTTCATGCTAGCTTTTATTGCCCAATCGTGTGAAATGAGTTCCGAACATCAGTCCAGAATAAATTGCAGTAATTCATTTCTCATTTTTGTCTTTAGCAGATGGCAATTGTGTTTGGATCTAGATATTAACTGAGAATGACCATCAAAGTTGATATTTTCCTCTGTATCAGGTTTATGTGGAAGCCTATACCTGTCCATGTGTGAGATATCACCCTTTTGATCCAGTCTTCATTGCACAGTCACATGGGAACTATATTGCCATCTTCTCGTCCAATCCTCCTTTCAAGTTAGACAAGTACAAGAGGTACGAGAGTCATGGAGTATCAGGGTTCCCCATCAAATGCAATTTCAGTTTGGATGGTGAGACACTTGCCTCAGGCTCTTCTGATGGTTGTATATACTTCTACAGCTATAGATCCTCTGACCTTATCAGGAAAATAAAAGCATATGAGCAGGCTTGTTTAGATGTTGCTTTCCATCCCCACGTACCTAATGTGATTGCTTCATGCGGTTGGAATGGAGAAATTTCAGTGTTTGAGTGAAATATCTCATAATCATCTTGGTCTGTGTTGTATTTATTTGTTTTTTTATTTTATTTCTTAGGGACGGGGTGGGGGAATCGTTTTGTCTAAGCAACCTTTGTTTCTTTTTTTTTTTGTTTTTTTTGGTTGCATTGTCTAACCTGCACTTATTGAGAAGAAAAATCCTTTCCATGATTAGTGGCTTTTCCAGCTATTCTCGGGAGAGGGGTTTCTTTTTGCTTCATGAAATATGAACTATCTGATAGGAATCTACAGACATCCATACCTGCGCCGTATTAGCAGAAATCTGCTTGGATATAAGGTAAGCATCTGCTCTATGTATCAATTTCATTTCACAAGAATCTTGTAAAAAAAGAATGGCCTTAATAATCAGCTGGCTCTACAGCTTCATAGCTTTGCTCAATGTCAATTTCAGCTGGGGCTCGTTTGTCATCCGAGAAATTCACTTATCCGGAAGTTGGTTCAACATAGTTGTCGGTGGGTTACTGTTCTACATCCAACATGGTTCCACGGCGGAGTGTAGGACCAAAAAGTCAGTTTTGAGTCGTAACCTCAGAACATTGGTGATGTGAAATGCAAATCTTCTCTCCAAATGTATGGGGGCAAATATGTCATTTCAAAATCCCTTTCTGGTGTTGGGTTGGTCGTGGAAAGGTCTTCTTTTATTGCTCTTAATGTCTACTACTAGTGACTAGTGAGGCACGTTGGGAGTCCTACAGTAACAGGGAAAGTGGATAGGGAGAATCTGAAATATCGATTCCCTCTTTCCATGATTACTCGGTCTCAGGGCCCAAAACACACGTTCTTAGTCTACTCTATGCCAACATTCGTGGGTCCAAATTACTTATGGCCACATGAGAGTTTTAAACGAGGAAGGGGGAGTCTACAGTCCAAACCCAAGTCCAGGTACTCTTAACCATGATTACTATCTAAAACAGGGATGGTTCTAAAGTGTGTTTATGTTGATGTCTGTTGCCTTTCTTGATTTGATTTTGATTTTGGCTTTGCCTCCGCCTTCCATGATGGCTTTGCATATTGGAGGACGGGACCAACACCAACACCCTCTGCAGAGAAAACATTTGTTCATCCTAATAATTTAGTGGGAGGTGTGGAAGCCACGTGGTGTGAAATCATTTCGTTTTAGTTCTTCCTGGCACTCGGATGCGATAGTTATTATCTAATTATTTTCAACAAAAAAAATCTTAATAATAATTTGAAAACGAAGTCATTTTCTGTAATATCAGAAATGAAATCATTTTTATTGGTTTTAACTCTAGAGGGTGGACGGTCAGCTACTCTATAACCCACAAGGACGTATTACAATATCCAAAATTTCACCATCCCATGTTGCTAGATATAGAGTAGACCTGGCAATCGGGTTGGGTGGGTCGAGTTCGGTTCGGGTCAAGGTATTTCGGGTTGGGTTGTCAAATGCTAGACCCTAACTCTAAATGTTTGGGTTAGGGTTGACTCATGGATCAATTTGGGTCATCCCAAAAATTAATTGAAATTTAAAAAAATAAAAATTTACATGAAAAATATCAAAATTAAAAGAATTAACCTTAAAATTTCAAATATAAAATAAAAGCTTGAATATTTAACAATTTAAAGAGTAAACAATAAAAAGTAAAGACTAAATAGAAAAAAAATAGAGTGGAAACTTCTAACAATGCATAAATAATCACAATTAGACTTGACAATCGGGTCAGCGGGTTGACCCATGACCCAACCCAACCCAATCCAGATTTTTTCGAGTTGGGTCATTTTCACATTCGGGTTGCTAAATATGAGACCCTAACCCTATTTTTTTGGATTGGGTTGGGTTGGGTTGGGTTGGGTCGGATTCACGGGTTGGGTCAACTTTTTGCCAGGTCTAATATAGAGGTACGAAACGATTTCTAAACTAATACTATTGTCTGGTCTGCTGGGAAGATTTCTATGACTAAGCATGTAGTCAACCATCATAGCCACGTAATAGGCACGTGATTTTCACTTAGAGGGAGAGAGAGAGAGAGAGAGGTTTGGTGGGTTGGGGGTCATGTTTTAAGATTCAGGAGGGGTGGCGGAGGTTAACAGCTCGGAGAGGCAATGTTTATCCTCCTCTCTCTGAAATGACTTGTTGAAGTTGAGATTTGAGAAAACGGTGGTAACAAAGAATAATACTACACAAGACACAATCATACATACATACCCCCTGCCATTTCTCTTGGAGTTCAATTGCAGTGTGACACAAGATACCACACCACCTCCCCATTTTTACATGCGTTTGAAAGGGGTGAGAGAGATTTCAACAATACCTCACACATATATACCCAAACTCATACAGAAAACGCATCTCCCCATGTAAAAAATAATCCAATTAAGCATAACCAGACAAGCCAGCGGTTCTTACAGGGGACCATGGTCCACAGGCCCCCTCTCAACTGTTTCTATTGGAAGCTGTTGTCATCCTAACACCCATCTAAAGCCAAGACACAGTTAGATAACCTATTTGCCTATGTTTTCTTTTCCTCTACTTCTGAATAAATGTGCCTCCCACCTTACATGGTCTTATGGTCCCCCTGTTTTCTATCTCTCTCACACACGTCTCTTCAAAGAACAAATGGAAAGTTCAAAGGCAAAAGCAAAGAAAATCCCCTACAAAAAGTTAGCTGAAGACTGCCCCCTCTCCATATGACTGCAATCATCTTCCAAAAGAGGATGTTACTGTGGGGTACTTTGTGGTCAAGCGGGTGTTTGCGCCCGAGGTCCCACCTGTTGGCCGAACTGGCGACATGAAACGATGGGCAGAAAGGTCCTTGTCATACACCCACCCTCTTGGATTGGCTATGAAGTATGAACTCCTTGCCCTAAGTTACCGAGAGCTGCTGTTTTTTTATTAGGGTAACCAAAAACAGCTTGAAAGAAAAAAAAGGAATCTTAGCTTGTGCTTAGTGCTGATTGCAGAAAGATGAAAGATTGGCATAAGAATCACAAGACTTCATAGTAACCCTTTCATTTTAATTTAATATAATCCACCATGTCAGGTTGTCAACTTTAGATTAATGATATCTCTTCTTTCACCAAACGACCATAATCGATGTTAGGTTATCTACCCAAGTATGGTCATCAGTTCCTTCCATTCCAATACTGGCCTCGGGAAAGTGTGCCGACAAGACAGCTAGTATTGGTTCCACTCCACCTTGTGGTTTGTGGTCATTCCTCTAATTTCCCTTTTCTATTTGCTCTTTCTTTCTTTCCTCTGGTGCTGGTGCAGTCTGCAGAGTGCCAGAGTCTAGTCTCAAAAGAATAATTGGTTTGGTGAGGTGGTAATCTTAATTTTGTATCATTTTGTCTTCTTAATTAAGGAAAGTGTACCTTGCAAGGACTTCCTAAGTAGGCCTTGTAGCCACTCTGCTTGTACGAAATTTGCCCAAAACGGGATACCCTCCCTAATGGGATCCGATGTCCTATATCTTGTATCTTACTTTGTAGTTTACTTGATACATTGCCATATGCTTGATAGACAGAAAACAAATACAAATGAAAACCTAAGCCAACTCGATCCAAGATTGAAGATTCAAATGTTGAGAATCTTCCAAAAAGTTGCATTTCTGATTTATGGCTTTCTCCACATACAGATAGAAAAGTGCATATATGAAACTGAGCATGCACCTAGTTTAACTAGATTTCCCATGAATCATGTTGGGTTTTAGAATAAAGCATGCAACATATCGCTTTACCTATCTTATATATATATATATATATATTCTTTCTCAAAGGATGCCAATTGCAATTACAAAATGGTTTGTAGTTGCATACATGAACTTTCTGATGATTAATTTATGACATTAATTAATTAGGTCTACCCCAACACAATACTTCATCATACTTTGGATTCTTAATCATGTTTTCACACTGTGAAGTGATATAATCTGAGTGTCTGATATGTAAAGCCCAACCTCCATGGCAAAAAGAACTGAAATGTTCAGAATTTCTTAGTGGAATATTGTTAGTTGCATTCCCTGGACCGTGTCGTGCATAAAGAATAGTAACCGGTATAAAGATGGCTTTTGATTTTATATATACCATCTCAGTTGGGAACTGTGGATGAGAAGTTACTATAATCATGAAATCTCTAGATAACCTTTCCATGTTATTACTCTTTTATGAAAATAAAAATTGAAGTTTGTATTCAATACTACCACTAATCCTAACCTCTCTTAAAAAGGAAACTAAAAAAAAAAAACAAAAAATCACTGCTAATATCTATCTGTTCAACCAAACCAGCAGAAAAACCAAACCTTAGATCTAGCAAGGTACCCTTGTTTCTCTCATTAAATCTTGTCTTTGTAAGACAAGGAAAAGTATACACGCAAAGACAGTTGAAATAATTCTGGATTCTTCACAAGGAGAGGTTGATTTTATGAACAGTTCCCTAACCTTAGGGGGCACTTGACCGACATGAGTGAGAGAGATCACAGTAAGTAGATGGAGACACTGTACCAACACGTATAGTCATCAACCAGGAGAAAGAAAAGAAAAAAAAAAAAAAAAAGTACCAGACCAGGAAAGCTAAAATAGGGTTAAAATCATTATCCATGAAAGTGAGAGGGGGCAAAAGGAGAGTGAATAATTAAATTTTACCCTGACGAGACAGAAAAATAAGTAAGTATATAAAATGGTTAGATAATTAATTAAGGGATGAACATTCATTACTGTAACCCAAGCAAACCAAATGAAATGCAGCAGCAGCAGCTGAAAGCATGTACATGGCAACTACAGAAATTGTCATCTGCGAAGAAGTTGCATCATAGTGGGTGGGTTCTGGTGAATTTGTTTGATCGATGGGTGCAATAAAAAACTGAAAGCGATTTGAGTTTTTGTAGTATTGGCAACTGTGATCTGTATAGTGCATGAAGTGGAGGACATGACATGATAGCTTTAATAAAAGCTGAGTGACACTTTGGGCTTTGATATGTTGTGGTGGAGAGCATGCATGGTCAAGTCCGGGCAAATCAAGTACCCACCTCACCCTGTTACGTCCCGATACGCGTCCATGTTCATGTATCGGCTTGCATGTGTCGGATGTTGCTTTCGCCCACGTGCCAGCGAGATGCCTAATCCCTAGCTAATGGCTTCTTCCCCTCCATGGCTCCATGGCTCCATGCATGCAGCAATCGCTTATGCAGAAGCTCGCACGTATATGTGCACTACACACAGATGTTTGCTTTTTACTCTTAAAGCAAAAGCATTAGTTGCTGCTTGGTGCAATTTATGTTAGAATAGATCGAATTGAGCTATTCTAACTCCATGATTGCATGAATTGGGTCTCTCCTTTTTCTTGTTTTCCCATTGTTACTATTTAATATTTCTTGTCTCTGGGGTGGGCAATGGTTGAAGCAAAGCAGCAGCATCTGAAAGAAACCATGATTCTTGATTGAAAAAGATGAGAAGTAGAAAACCCACACACACACACAACGAGCTCCGAGGCCTTTTGAAGTGTCAAGGAAAGTAGTCTTAACACATCAAAGTTTGAAAAAAATAATAATTTGAAAGCAAAAAGTGGCATGTGATGAAGGAATAGTTGAGAAATTTTATATTAACTGATTCAGAATTCAGATGTTTAAAGCCAGGAGGCAACTGGAACAATGTTTGGCAGGCGATGTGATTAATGAGGTTATAATTAATCATGGTCATGACCACCAAAATTAATGAAAAGTCCTGCTCCTGCCCCCCATCGATCAGTATCGAAATCTGTCGATCCAGTACTAGTAATAAATCACAAATTAATTGAATAAAAGTGGTACTATGGTAGCATTATCAGAGGCATATATTACTTTCCAGTTTCCATGGTACAGTAGTACTCTCTAGCTAATGGCGACCTGGGATTAGGGCCCATCAGAAGGATTTTGAGTAAACAAATAAAAATCGAAAAGATCAACAGTACTATAGCTAGTAGTTGGTCAAACCAAAACCTTTGCTTACTAGAATAAATCTCAATCTCGTCATCTGGTTTAATTGTTGAATGGCTATATATATATAAGTATATATAGTCCATGTGATCTGGGACATGTAAAAGAACAGTAGTACTCATGCACATAGTGCAGTTTTAACGTTTCACCCATACCTACCTAGCTCATATGTTATCATATTAGAGTAGCTTCTGCAACCCCTTCCCCATATTTATATATATCTTGTACCCTTATTAGCCCACATTTCGCCAGTCTGGCGCTGCAAACACTGCATTCGCATAATATATATTATCCTTGCCTCTCTCTGTATTATTTTGTATTTTGCACCACCACTAGTCAACATTTCAGGTTATTAATTGCTCCATGACCAACCCCCCCCCCCCCTCCTTTCTTGGGTTTATTTATCTATCTGGTTGTTCCTTGATTAATAACAACAAAATGGAGGTATGAGTCCTGATTGCCTGGGCAGACCCAAACCCCAAGTATGCATACACAGTGGGCTATGTATGTTGGTACCATACCTACATGAATAATGAATGAATGAATGAATGAATGAATTACAGGTCCATACCCACCTTTCTAGGACCTAGATAGATAGATAGATTGAAAGGAGGGATGCACAACTGCACATGGATCGGGTCAATGCCAGCCCATATTGAATTACTGAACAGTACGTTTCTGCCTAAATTTGACTCCTACATTTCCAAGATGCATGCATACATAGATCCTAAGCTCTAAGCTCCATGCTGGGCTATAAACTTACAAAAGTCCAGATTGACAGGGAACTGGGTCAATCACAACCTACCTAATGTGACCATCTACTATATATGAAAGGACACAACAAGTTGTAGGATTTCAGTATCGAAAAGCTAGTTTTGCAAGTAAGAGACTAAAGGGGATGGTGGTAAAAGAAGCAGGATGAGGGAGTTGGCGTACGTTATATATGGAGTAAGAGACTAAGAGGGTTGGACTTGGACTACTGTTTATTATTATATTTATAGTACAAAACTAAATTATTTCAATAAGGAAGGGAATTAGAGTAAGTTGGGATTCTGGGGAACAGGAGAGGAGCAGGGATTTGTACTCTGAGAGAGAGAGGAAGTTGATCGTACTGGGACTATATGTTGTTTTCATTTTTACTTGGCTCGAGAGGTTAAAATGGTAGTTAAAGTCAAAGGTCAAATATATGCAAGTCTGTGAAATGTTCCACGGAGTAGACACATTCTAATGTAGACATTCCCAAACGCACTCGCCCACTCCCTCTTCACCAAGCACAAGGCACTCAAAAAGTCTCCCACTTGAAGCTTTTAATTTTGAGGAGAGAGAGAGAGAGAGAGAGACATTGCCCATTGCTATTACTCATTACCCACCCG